GTTGTTATTACACAAGATGCTAAAGTTTCAACAAGTTCACAATCATTTTATGGTTAATAACAAAACAGACCATATGACGGCCTCAGCTGATCTTCTTAAGAAATAAGTAACTCAAAGTTCAGAAGAGCTGAGTGAAGCTCACAGTGAGTCCACCTTGCCTCACCGGGGAAAGAAAAGGATTTTAAAGTTCCATTGTTTCTATCCTTTCCTCATTTATAAACAGTATCAATCATACGAATTTAGTGTTACTCGTTCTGTTTTCTCTGTATTATCAAGACTAACGATGGTTGAAAACATTTTAAAAATTGTTTGAGTAGGTATTTAATCAAGTATTTTTTTGTCCGAGGCAAGGCTTGGAGAGAAAAGCTGCCATTTTGATCTCAAACTGGAATAAATCACTCCTGTTTCACTTCTTACCACTGTAGACACTCCTAAGTCTTCCTAAACAAGACTTTATTTGCCCGTGTGAGCTCATCTTAAGACATATGCTTTCTGCTGAGTGTTCCTTGGAGTTTAACTGTAGGCATAAGTCTTAACAAGGGCTCAACACTAAGAGTAAGAGAACGCCCTGGTTACACATTCATCTAACGTAACTGTAAAAAAAAAATAAAAATCTGTCAAACAAACAAAGTCATGCTGTACCTAGAAGCTACGTCTTTCTGCTCCTTTGTTATTCATCGCATAAATTAATGCTTCAAAACTACAGTAAGTGCTTTTTCACAGCCCTTTTCGGACAACCTAAGTGTTTTCACCTGGCTCGGGGGGAAGAAAAGAGACGGAGAGTGTAGCAGGGAGGGGATAACAACCAGGTTCTTTCAGAAGTTCAAAAACATTTTAAAAAAATCTTACTGATATGCAAAATTCAGTAAAGACGACCTTTTTTCCCTAGACACTACTTAAAAGTCTTTTGTCTGGATAAACAACTGTTATTTTCCCAAAATATCTCCTTTAGTCAAGAACTGCAACTTCTAATGAAAGTGTTTTCTAATGTCATTTTTGTATCTAGCAAAACCAAGACTTGATATAATTATTGAAAGAAAAGTCACATGTACAAAACCATCAGAAGGAACCAGAATTCAAAATCACTGAATGGTTCTAGTTCCCAAAGTACTGAAAAATGCCTCTACTTTTAAAAACATATGGGCAAAAGAAAGTTACTTTAAATGTGGGGGCACATAAAAAAGTTTAAGAGTAGCAGTTTTTCCCCTTTGGGGTTATTTTTGAGAAGCCCCTAGTTATGAGCCAATTCATATTAAAATACATCCTCATGCCGAAATGAAGGCAGAAGCACCTTTAAAATTGTCTGAAAAACAGAACCAGTCCTTCCAAAAAATGATGCCTCAAAACACTTGAAGAGAATTATTTTTTCTATACCAAGCTAGGAGGAAATCCCAAAGCGCTAACAGATGACGAGAGTGTTAATGCCATTAACACCCTTTCAGCACTCCCTATCAGCGTGTAAGTGACCTCGCGCCGCCCAGTCACTCTGAGAGAGGAAAAAGGGTTCACAGTCATATCCCGATGCTGAGATTCTGATTCAGAGTATATTTGTTTCTTCCCTAGTGCCCTGCTCTAAGAGATTCTGCAGCACGGTCATTCGTCTGAGCGTGATCAGTTGATGTTTAGCACACATGAGATATCCAGCCTTGTCAGTGCACACAAGTCCCCCACATTCAAAACAGGCTTCTCCCCAGATCGTTTCATTACAACTGAAGTACATCAAGTAAGGAACTAATAAAACTCATATTTGGTAGTGAAACAACAGCCATTATGAGACAGAACTATGAGTTTATCTAAATACATATAAGGTAAAACAAAACACATATGCCTTTCAGGAAGGCAGCTTTTTTATTTCAAAACAAGGGTTTTGTTTTAATGAATAGTGTTCCTATCTGAAAACTAATATTAGTTCACAAATCACTGTTGTTCTATTTAATGATAAGATGAATGCACGCTGCTTGGAAAATTTTTATCTGCACTGATTTCTGTTCTTTCATTCATATTCTATTAATTTTGCAATTCTTTAAAAATAAGCTTTTAATTCTTCACATATGCAATCTGTTAGAAAAATCATGTGGCACCATGTATCACTCTGGCAAGCAAAAGATTTAAACAAGAACAAGCACGTTAATACCTCTTACTAGGGCAAAGGACACAGCTGAAAAGCAGAAAAGTGATACAAAAATCTTCATTTAAGGACACACAAGTACATCTAGGATACATTATATCGATTAATTTATGCAAGATTGTGTATAAACTAGATAATCATCCAAGAGCAATCCAGCAAAACGTCTGTGTGTCCAGCTCGCAGGGCAATAAAACGGATGAGCCTAATGCCCAGTGACCAAACAGGGTGTCCTCCTGCCACCCCACCTCCACTTCTCTCTTCTCCTCAGAAGCACGCTCAAAGCTTCTGCCTCTTTCCTAGAGGACTAAGCCTTTCTTAATAATATTTAAAGTTAAACCCCATTAATTTGAATATTTTCCTCAATCCCCAAACAGACACTCATGTTTTAACATCACCAAAAAGAAACCAGCATAGACACCAACACTAAGTAAGTATAAAGTTCAGTTTTCCACTTAAGAAAATCTTCAGTTAGAGTCAACGAAAAAAAAAAATCCCAGATGAAAATGTAGGTATCTTATCTGCTAAAAAAGAAAGTTTAAAACCGTAAAATTATGTAATTTCTTTCATAGCATTTGCTTCAATACTCATTTTATTATATGAATTAGTATTATGAACTATATTTTTATGGTAATTTATATCCTACCTTAGTATGATACCAAGCAATATTCCTTCCATAATCACTGAAGAAGTATCTCATCCACAACCACGGGTAACCAGCTTTGTATATTAGCAGCAACAGGAAAGAGAAACTATGCCTTTAATTATGGTGTAATTCCTGTATCCTGAAGTTCTCTACTGACAGATGTTTTTATGTTCAGACACATCTCAAATTTACTGAAACACTCACGCAGTCAGAGAGATGTTCAGCCTGCAATTCTCAAACTTTCTAATCTCAGTACGTGCTACTAACAGTTCTTCAACAAGCTCACAGAAACAAAAGAAATATATACTGAAGACTAAAATGTCATTTTCTCTCCCCTTGAAATTTATTCTTCAAGGAAAAAAAACCCAAAACCCAACAAACTGGAATGTAGAAAACTTAAAAAAATTCAATGATAAGCAGAAACAAATTTCATCACTTGATATAACAGGAGATGACTTTCTATAAAGAAAAACACACCTATCAGGTCATCTATTAATTATGAAAACACAAATCCTTAGGCAGAATCAGTTCATTTCTTAGAGTCTTATCTATTTTGTCAAGCCACCAAATTTACTAGTATGATAAAAGCTGTCAGACAACTACAGTTCTGGGTACCTACTTTCATTACAAGGAATTGATAATTTAGTTGGGACATCAGTGTATGCGCACTGAAGCACAGCTGCCCATTGACAGCCAACTTCCAAAAATTAATTTTCCAAAATTTCATAGGATACTCATATTTTTGCCAATTCAAAAAAGCATTAGCATATTTTCTTTTTTTAAACTATTTTGCATTGTCAGATGGTTTTTCTTCCTTAAGAAATTCAGGTGATAAACCACAGAGCAAAAAAAGAAAAATCTTTTGTACTTAGCTCCTTTTTCTCGCCAAATTACTTGAGTGTTGACAAACATTTTTCGAAGTACAGGAAATACATGGGTAACAAAAAAAGGTAAAGTATTTGCTCAATACAACTGAAAAATAACATATATAACGTGTAAAACAGAGCCGTCAAGCTTAACGCGAAAACATGGTTGCAAAAGGTGCCTTGGATTATGTTGGTTTCATTTATGAACCGAAGTGGGACTTACTCAGCAGTGTTCAGCATAAACACAAAGCAGAGGACAATGACAAGGCAACACTGCAAGATTTTTCAATAGGAATCTATCTCAGGGAAAGAATAAGCTTTTCTTTTAATAGCAGAACCGACAAATGTGGTAACTAGCAAGTTTCTTAACCTTGCAAATAAGACAAGGGGGAAGAGAAAAATCTAAGTAACAAGAAACAATTTTCCACATATTCATGAGTTGTCTCCCTTAAGCTACTTTTCTGCAGTCTTGTCAGAAATTTAAAATAAATCCACACAGAGAAAACATTAAATATCTTCTTGTGGATTTCTTTCACTGAATCCACTCAGATGGGTAATCCTACTAAAATTTACTTTACAAATACACGGTAGTTAGAACTTCTTCATTACATGCACGTACTAAATATGTGCTTTAAATATGTGCTTTTTTAAATATGTGCTTCATTACATGCACGTACTAAATAATGTGCTTTGTGCAAAATAAAAACATGCAAATTTCTTTTGAGAAAAAAGGAATTTTGCTTAGTCTTTCTCAGTTTTGTGAGCTTCTTGCTTTAGTAGTTAGCTGTGAGCAAAAGTAAAGTTGCATACATGAACAATTTGGAGGGCTGGACAGACAACATATGGTATTCTCCCACAGATTTTACTCACTAGTGCTTAAAGAACTTGTAGTTTCTATTCCCTACAAAAACAAAAGGACAAATAACTCTCGGGTATAAAAACTGTAAACATTTTTTCTCTAAAATGATCTCTAAAATGCTCCCCTTGAAACAAAAACACATATGAAGCTAAACCAATAAATACTCTCTACTCTACTGGTGATAGTTATCTGTATTGAAATGATTCAACAATTATCATAAAATACCTCTCCTTAAGGCAAAAAGCCCATACTACTATCTTTATGACTATTCACTATAACTACTCCCTTGAAGAAAGGTGTTTGTTTTCCACCCTGGAAATCTGATTTATAAATGCTTTAAGTTACACTGAGTTCTCACACATTCAGCATTTTCTGCAATGGTTTTCTCTGCACCAAAATAAAAGCATGAAAGAAGAGTCTGAAAATGTATTTTCAAGTGCTGTAAATACTTAACCAGACAATCAAAACATTCAAATCACCAATGCTAGCATGCAAAAAGGATATGCTCATCTTTTCAACAAACTTATCATGTTCATCTTGTGTTTTAGGGAAATTCTCAATGTCTTTTTCTAGGCGCTGGATCTGCTGGTTCATTGAATCAAGGTTGCTCTTCAGAGTCTGCGCTGAAACTAAGAAAAAAATGACAATGAGTAAAACGCTTCCAGATTCTAGAAAGATTATCAGAAGGGGAAAAAAAAAAAACAACAAATGTCAGTATAAATAGACTTAAGGAGAAAGATTCCATTAAGTAGACTAAAATTTTTCTGAATTACCACTCATAAAAATTCTACTCCGTAAAAATATCTGATGTAATAAACCAAATCATCATTTCTAATGTTAAAATGTCACTACTTAATTCTACCATTAGTTCAAATTATTCAATTTATATTTAAATTTATTGGTAAAAATTCCAATATTTCATTCTTTTAAATCTAATTCAAAGATTAAAATGTAACCAAGGTTCAAAGAGGTTTTACCTTATTACTGCCTGTACTTGGTTGAATGAATGATCTTATTAACGCATGTATTCTGTTACAGTAATTATTTAAGCAACAGAAATGGATCAAAAAAGAAAGAAAAGATCAAATATTTTTCCTGTGCTGAAATTCAATTGATTTTTTAGAAACCAATATTAGTGAAAGCCTCTGTTAACATTAAAGCTCTATCTGAATAATAAAAGCTACTGATAATTAAAAAGTAGTAAAGGACTCCCAGTCGAGCACCAAAACAAAGAGAGAGGCTACCCTACAGAAACACTCCTCCACTGACATATGTCATATTCCATTGTAAACCACTATTTCTGTAATTGGTCTTAAAAAAACACTAATTGACAGATCATGAGATAAATCTCCCTTGGATATCACGACATCACCATTTTGAAGGTGAAGCAACACCACAGCACAAAAATTCCAGATGAAAAGTGATAGAGTCTCCGCAGAGAAGCCCTCGGTCAAACTGGATTCAACCGAACCAGCCTGTTACATCGAGCTTTACAGCACAGTCCATAAACTCCACTTCTCATTCTCAAGTTAATCATAAAGAGCAGCCTGACAAGCACTTCCTCCCAATTTAAAGATGCATGTTAGAACCAATTCTGTTCTTCGTCTCCTCTTGTGTAGGTCACAGAACAACTCAACAGCCCCTTCCCGCAAAGAGCCCTGTAGCATTTGCACCGTTTGGGGTCCTTCCTCTGAATGGACTACAGAATATTTCAGAGGCCATTTATACTCTACCAACTACTCCATCTTCAGTGACGGTGCATAGAAACCTGGTCACTCGTAAAAAGACAGTGCCACAAACAGCTCCCGAGGTGCGGAACCAGATGCCGGAACATCCAGTACGTTCCCTGCTGCTCACTAAGTGCCCGAGCCAAAGCTCCCTGCGGGCTCTACAAAGCCAACACTGTGGATCTGCATCCCAGCTAACCCAAGGATTCTTTGTGTAGTCAAGATCAACACGTGACTACTTTTTTTTATTACTATTCTTTTCATCGTAAGCCATTCATCCAGAAGTTGCATAGAGTATTTTCAGAAGAATGGTTTATTTTCCTATTTCCTCATAATTTGAAAGATTGCACTGTGACTATGTGAGATTAAACAGTAGCAGAAATCAAGATGGCTTGAAAAACAATATGTAGGAAGTAAAAGTTGTGTATATAAGGAAGCTGCTCCTAAACCAAAATAAAATCCATCTTCTTCATAAGTAATGATTCATATCGGCTGTAACACCACCAATTTGACTTTTCACAAGCACCTTCAAATATATAAGGCACCAACACAGTTGTCTATCACCAACATAATCTTGATTTTATTTTCAATTTTATCTATTTTACATTGGGTACCAAAAGAACTACTAACCACATAATCTTAAAATTTTAGTGAAACAGCTTTTTAAGTTTAACTCGACTGGGGGGAAAAATAATAAATAATTCTATACTGACCACAGCACCCTTGAAGATTTTAACTTATCACTCAGAACTCAACCTTGAAATCAACCACTAAAGTAGTCTGAATAATAAACATTATCAATGCTTTCAAGTTATGACAGCATTAGTTTCATAATTTGATATTACTGTCAGAAACGGAGTAAACTTTTTTCCTTGAATGGAAGAACTAGAATTACTATAACATTTTTATAGGCTGTTACGTAGCTGGACAGGGAGACAAACAGCACTGAAGTAAAATGCCTGAACTGAAAAATAAATTAGGACGATGTAAATGGTAATTTTATTTGTAAAAAGAATAGCAGCTGGTAAGTAAAGAGGCAACATAACAGATAAATTTTAACTGTTTTCGGCAATTTGAAAATATTTAAATGCATGACCGTTTAGCAAGGGTATTAGTTTATTTTTGTGTGAAATTTAAAAGTGCAAAGAAACTCTATGCAAGCAAGAAGGCTGCATTCAAAAGCTGTGCTTCCCATTACTAAGTTCTACATCCACACTGAATTACATCAAAAAAACCATTGTAGAATATGCATTTTTGATAGCTTCTTTTTTTTTTGCATAGCCCAGGTAAATACACAAGTTTCTGTTCAAACAATTTATGAAGCTGTTGGTTCAGCAAGACAAGCTTGAAAAAACTATATAACAGGAAACATACAGAGACTATAATAAAATATCTGCATTTCATACCATAAACCATTTTATTAGAGATTCAGTACCTCAGTAATGTGAAGAGGAGGCAACATGAATACATTTTACTGTTTCAGGGAAAACCATTTGAATTCTTAAAAGTTTTGCAAAGTTTTAATTTATGAAAGCATAAACTCTCCTTGCGGCAAAATGCCGTTTCTTTGAAGCCATTCCCTAATGCCCGTTAACTGACTGTCTCCTGTATTCCTCAAAGCCAGTGATGAGAAGACAAAGGCTTGTTCACCTTCAACTTGCTCACCCTCCCACATGACATTTAGGCATCCTAGAAGAACTAATGTAAAAAGATCTACCTGAAAGGTAACATGTGATCCTCAGTGGCACACAAGCACTGTTTAACAACTATTACTGGGAAAGCCTATCTGTAGCAGCCATTACAATTACTATTCCATTAATGTTGCAGCAGGAGAGAGCGACCACCTAAATCCAGTACATAAATATCTGATTTCAAGAGAGGGGCAATGAGACCCAAAAAGAAGGAAAAATAAGAAATAAAAAAACCCCACTAATAACCAGAAAAATCCTCCATAACTCCTCCACACTAGAATAAGCAGCCTATAAGAAGTCTGGACATTTCCATGTACTGGCAAAGATAAAATATTTGCCCCATTTCAAAAGTAAAATAAATGAACAGCACTAAACTAATCCACCTCACCACCCTCCCAGCTTTGCAGGAGAACGAAGAGCCCCATCCACAGTAGAAAGGACTGAAGGTAAGAAATGGGAAAGTTTGAGAAGGCAAAAGGAAGCTGAATTTGCTGACACAAGGAACAGCAGAGGTAGATAGAATAATCAAGTTCAGGAAAGGGTTAATTAGGTCCATATGAAACAGGTCCCTAAACAGATATCAAAAGGAATGGGTAGAGATGAACCCTGAGTACGGTTCTGAGAGCACGTGCAGATGCTAGAGCATATCTTGCTGCCAGCGTTGGGCAGAGCATCAGGTTGTGTGCTCAAGTGGGCACTTCATGCATTCTTATGCCTTAAGACAAAAAAAAAGTCAACCCCCAAACCTATATATGGACCCATCTTGAAGGTCAAAAACGGCAGCAAAGAGGCTCAGTCTGTACCAAGCTGTACCAGGCTGGCCCCTTATTTAGAGATAAGAAAAGGTTGGCTTGCGCAGAGCTGCTGCTCCTCTAATCAGCATCTTTAACACGTGCACCTCAAGTCACTATAATAAAAGGATTTACAAGACAGAGGAAAAAAACAATGCTAGAAATTACACAAGTATGTTTCAACTAACTACAGCATTATCACACAGAATTACTTATTACATACAGGAGTAATAGAAACAAGGCGAATATGAAGTTATGCAAACTCATCTATCGTCAGATTATTTTTCATGTCAGTGGAAGACTAATACAAGCACCTAGATTTATCAGTATTCTCTCTGCACAAATAACGAAGCCCAGCTCATCATACACCATTTAATCACTGAATAAAATGTTATTTTGTATATTATTATTATTATTATTTATAATAGGAATCTGCACTCATTGCAGAGAAGGCACAATGTCATATGAAATGAAGGGTGAAGTGTTTTTTTCCTTCTTTTTTTGAGTAATTCCTCCTGTGTAAAAAAAATAAAAAATAAAAAATCCCATCCACTTATTCTGCAGGAAGCAGTTGCACAGACTGTACGTTAAGGAAGGCTTAGTGAATGTCTGGTAGACCATTTTACTCGCAGCAAAATGCTATGAGCAGTTAATCTCATGTTAATATCAAACACTAGCTAGTCCCTACAGTCAAGCTGAGCATTTTATATTTACAGTAATACAGTAATAGTACCAAAGGACAGACTAATCCTTTCTAAAATAAGATTGCATTAGATTAAGAGTCCTCCCCATAACAAGGGGTGAAATGTTATATTCTGATCAGGTGCAGTGTTGCTTGCATAATAAATTCAAAGAGTCTGATGATGTAAAACAGAGATGGCCTTGTCCACATTTACTAAAAACCCTGAAGTGAGAGTCAATATTATTTCGGTAAGGAAAAGCAAGTCTATACAATGAAAATGAACTAGTGAATGTGTAGATCTAGACAGTATTTGGACCATAACTACATTCTGAGCATACTAATGACTATTTATTTCTTCTTGCCTGAGAGCAGATGGAAGAAATAGCCTTTCACAAAAATCTGAAAAACAGTTTGAGGGGAAACGGGCAAGCAAGTACGTAATCCGCAGGATTTACCATCATTGATTGCTCAATTCATACCAGTGAGTTTATATTCATTAAGAGAACAAATGTTGTGCTGGGGTTCGGTGGACAGTGCTGCCGCAGTCTACGTGAGGATCCTGAGCAGCGCGATGTGTGTGCACGTGTCTGTATCTTAGAGTGTGCCTGTATCTTGCAAAACCAGCCATATGTGAAGCTTCACCACTGAACAGCTTCTAGACTTGAAAGCAGGACAGTCCCCTTAATATGTTATTTCTAAAGTAATTAACATGTCACTATTCATACACAAAACCTTTCC